GTGGCCCGAGACAGTTTGTCAGACGACCCCCAAACACTGAATTCAAGCCACAGTACACTGTGAAGACAGTGAAGCATGGTTGCGCAAGCATCATGATATGGGGATGTTTCTCATACTACGGTGTTGGACCTATTTATCGCATACCAGGGATCATGGATCAGTTTGAATACATCAGAATACTTGAAGAGGTCATGTTGCCTTATGCTGAAGAGGAAATGCCCTTGAAATGGGTGTTCCAACAAGACAACGACCCCAAACACAGCAGTAAACGTGCAACATCTTGGTTCCAGACCAACAAGATTGACGTTATGGAGTGGCCAGCCAAATCCCCGGATCTTAATCCAATAGAAAACTTGTGGGGTGACATCAAAAATGCAGTTTCTGAGGCAAAACCAAGAAATAGAGAAGAACTGTGGAATGTAGTCCAATCATCCTGGGCTGGAATACCTGTTCACAGGTGCCAGAAGTTGGTTGACTCCATGCAACACAGATGTACAGCAGTTCTCAGAAACAGTGCTTATACAACTAAATATTAAGTGATGTTGCAAACGTGCACATCAGAGATGGATGCGGTTCAACCATTTTGGCTTCAACCACCATCTTGGCGGAGGAATTGACCCTCCTGATATATGTTATTCCCTCATTCTCGTTCCCCCCCTCCCTTCCTGAGAGGCACAGTGACAGATGTGTGTGTGAAAAGTGTCACAGGCCAGATCCCAGCAGGGAGCCCAGGTGGTGCAGCACTGCCTGGAGAACATGTGTAATTTCACACCTCGTGAAAAGATAACAGAGCCTTCCCAGGAGTTGAAAGGGTCTCTGGGCTAATAAACTTAACTCAGCATAGGTGACAGAATTAGATGAACACTTCTCCAATCAATTTTTCCCCTATGTTTCATATCTTGGAATATGAGAGACTTACATTAAAACCAGACATCCCGTCAGATGGGCTAGGAGCAGGCAAACCATTTGATGGGTCATTTGAATTATCTCAGACCATCAGGGGAGCCGAAACATAGAACTCGTTAACCATGCCACATATAATTTCATAATTCATATCTAAATAATCCTCAGGATTATCTGCATAATAAAATACCCGCGGGTGGACTGTAGCTTGTGCAGCTGGAAAGTTATGAACCAGAATATGAATTAGGAAAGATGTGGGCTCCAGTTTAGGGTTCCGCCCGACGATCCCTCCCTGCACAAGGGATTGGTTTGTTACTTCAGAACCACCCCCTGCTGGGAAACTTTAAAACAGGCTGTCAAGCCTAAGGAAGGTAGAATTGAAGACATCTCCCATTTTTCCATCGAAACAGCGGGAGATCAAAGCATCATTCTGCTCTAAAAACTTGGATATGCTTACATCAAAGGCTTACTGGCAAGTAACTTAACCCTGTAACTTCTCTCTGTTATCGCTTTGCTGTTTCCTGTATATGTATATATATATATATCTTAGTTACATCTTCTCTGTAAATATTTTTATTGCACCTGTTTGACCCTTTTAGTAATAAATCGCTCTTTCTGAAAGTGTTGAACTGTTTCTATATTAATTGCAATTTACGAATCCCTGCCTTTAAAGAGACGCTACTGTTTGTTTAACTCTCTGTATAACCGGCCTGTGTCAATGACCGGGTTATGCGGACGATTATTTCAATTATTATAGTGTTATAGCGATATTGCGAGTTTCCTCTTTCTCTGATCAAAAAGGAGGTGGTGACAGTGTGAAGGGGTAAATTGCGTAATTAACCTGACCCAGTAACAAGCGATCGTGACAAGTGATTCAAAGGAAAGCAAAATCTTCAAACATTTTTCAGTTTATATAGTGAATGTTTGAGTTTGTAAAGAAGAATACAAACACTGCTATTTTTTGAACAGTCTAATATTCACTTTTCTTCAATTTTTTTTAGAGGAACAACACAAATTTGATATATTTTTCTTCATGTTTTGATTTGGAATAGAATGTGTAGTGTTCCCCAATGCCTTTGTGTGTATGGAAATAAAAGCTATTAGAAGGATTTTGAGCTTTATTCACTTTTTTCAACACACTGCTATTATTTTGAACACAACTGTACATCCAAATTGGAGGAAGGCTTTAGGAGTTGTATCTCTTAAAGAGTAGCCATCCACCCATTTTCAAGGGAGCAAAAGTAATTGGACAAATGAATATAATCATAAATAAAATGTTCATTTTTAATATTTTGTTGAGAATCCTTTACTGGCAATGACTGCCTGAAGTCTGGAACCCATGGACATTACCAAAGACTGGGTTTCCCTCTTTTCTGATGCTTTGCCAGGTTCTAACTGCAGCTGTCTTCATTTGTTCTTTGTGGGTCTGTCTGCCTTTAGTTTTGCCTTCAGCAAGTGAAATGCATGCTCAATTGGGTTGAGATCAGGTGATTGACTCGGCCATTGCAGAATATTCCACTTCTTTTCCTTCAAAAGCTCCTGGGTTGCTTTTGTAATGTGTTTTGGATCAATGTCCATCTGTACTGTGAAGCGCCGTCCAATCAACTTTGCTGCATTTGGCTGAATCTGGGCTGACAGTCTCTCTAAACACTGCAGAATTCATCCGCTGCTTATGTCTTCTAACACATCATCAATAAACATCAATGACCCAGTGCCACTGGAAGCCATGCATGTCCATGCCATCACACTGCCTCCACGTTTTACAGATGACATTGTGTGCTTTGGATCATGAGCTGTTCCAAGCCTTCTCCACACATTTTTCTTCCTGTCATTCTGGTACAGATTAATCTTAGTTTCATCAGTCCAAAGAATGCTTTTCTAGAACTGGTCTGGCTTTTTTTAGATATTTTTTTGGCAAAGTCTAATCTAGCTTTTCTATTCTTCAGGCTTATGAATGGTTTGCACCTTGTGGTGAACCCTCTGTATTTGCTCTCGTGAAGTCTTCTCTTTATTGTAGACTTTGACAATGATATGCCCACCTCCTGGAGAGTGTCCTTCACTTGTCTGGATGTTGTGAATGGGTTTTTCTTTACCACAGAGAGGATCCTGCGATCATCCACCGCTGTTGTCTTCCATGGATATCCATGCCTTTTTATGTTGCTAGCACAACAGTGTGTTCTTCTTTCCTCAGAATGTACCAAACTGTTGATTTGACCACTCCTAATGTTGCTGCGATCTCTCTGATGGATTTGTTTAGTTTTTGAAGCCTTACATTGGCCTGTTCCACTTGCATTGACAGCTCCTTTGAACGCATGATGTAGGTTCACAGCAATAGATTCCAAATGCAAAAACACACTTAGAATCAACTCCAGACCTTTTACCTGCTTAATTGATGAAGAAATAATGAAGGAGTAGCCCACACCTGGCCATGAAACAGCTTTTGATTCAATTGTCCAGTTAGTTTTGGTCCCTTGAAAAAGGGGGGATGGCTACTCTTAAGAGCTGCAACTCCTAAACCCTTCATCTAATTTGGATGCACATACCCTCAAATTAAACCTGAGAGTGTGCACTTTAAGCCCATATCCATTATAGAACTATAGCTTGAATATGTTTTGGTAAACACCTGAAAAAAAATGAAAATTATGCCGATGTACAAATATATATGGACCTAACTGTATGTTGGGGCTATGGGGTACAGTGGCAAGACGGAAGCCTTTTCTTACGAAGAAAAACATCCAAGCCCGGCTAAATTTTGCAAAAACACATCTGAAATCTCCCAAAAGCATGTGGGAAAATGTGTTATGGTCTGATGAAACCAAGGTTGAACCTTTTGGCCATAATTCCAAAAGATGTTTGGCGCAAAAAACAAAACTGCACATCACCAAAAGAACACCATAACCACAGTGAAGCATGGTGGTGGCAGCATCATGCTTTGGGGCTGTTTTGCTTCAGCTGGAACTGGGGCCTTAGTCAAGGTAGAGGGAATTATGAACAGTTCCAAATAACAGTCAATATTGACACAAAACCTTCAGGCTTCTGCTAGAAAGCTGAACATGACGAGGAACTTCATCCTTCAGCTTGACAACGACCCAAAGCATACATCCAAATCAACAAAGGAATGGCTTCACCAGAAGAAGATTAAAAAGTTTTGGAATGGCCCAGCCAGATCCCAGACCCGAATCCGATGGAAAATTTGTGGGGTGATCTGAAGAGTGCTGTGCACAGGAGATGCCCTCGCAATCTGACAGATTTGGAGTGATTTTACAAGGAAGAGTGGCAAAATATTGCCAAGTCAAGATGTGCCATGCTGATAGACTCATACCCAAAAAGACTGAGTGCTGTAATCACATCAAAAGGGGCTTCAGCGAAGTATTAGTTTAGGGTGTGTACACTTATGCAACCATAATATTTTAGATTTTTATTTCCTTCCCTCCACCTAAAAGATTTCAGTTTGTTTTTCAACTGAGTTGTACAGTTTATAGGTCATATTAAAAGGTGGAAAAAGTTCTGAAATGATTTACCTTTGTCTCATTTTTTTCAACATCACAGAAACCTGACATTTTAACAGGGGTGTGTAGACTTTTTATATCCACTGTATATTGTACATTCACATCAGTCAGATTATAACTTTCTTTTTTTTAGGATTATAACTTTTTTTTTTTTTATGGTTGAACTGGATGGACTTATGTCTTTTTTTTTCAGACAATGTAACCCTCAAGGGACGTATAATCTAAGGTCCCTAACTGCCAAGTCAAGATGTGCCATGCTGATAAGACTGATCCCCAAAAGACTGAGTGCTGGAATCAATCTAAAGGGGCTTCAACAAAGTATTAGTTTAGGGCAGTGATGGCGAACCTTTTTGAGCAGTGCCCAAACTGCAACCCAAAACCAACTTATTTCTTTCAAAGTGCCAACACTGCAATGAAACCTGAATATCGAGCTTTTGGTTTAGAAAAAACAACTCGTACAGTAGTGCAAACTAATTAACAGTACAGGGATGACCAGAGACTGCGGACACAGTACAGGGATGACCAGAGACTGCGGACACAGTACAGGGATGACCAGAGACTGCGGACACAGTACAGGGATGACCAGAGACTGCGGACACAGTACAGGGATGACCAGAGACTGCGGACACAGTACAGGGGATGACCAGAGACTGCGGACACAGTACAGGGATGACCAGAGACTGCGGACACAGTACAGGGATGACCAGAGACTGACTGCGGACACAGTACAGGGATGACCAGAGACTGCGGACACAGTACAGGGATGACCAGAGACTGCGGACACAGTACAGGGATGACCAGAGACTGCGGACACAGTACAGGGATGACCAGAACTGCGGACAGTACAGGGATGACCAGAGACTGCGGACACAGTACAGGGATGACCAGAGACTGCGGACACAGTACAGGGATGACCAGAGACTGCGGACACAGTACAGGGATGACCAGAGACTGCGGACACAGTACAGGAGATGACCAGAGACTGCGGACACAGTACAGGAGATGACCAGAGACTGCGGACACAGTACAGGGATGACCAGAGACTGCGGACACAGTACAGGGATGACCAGAGACTGCGGACACAGTACAGGGATGACCAGAGACTGCGGACACAGTACAGGGATGACCAGAGACTGCGGACACAGTACAGGGATGACCAGAGACTGCGGACACAGTACAGGGGATGACCAGAGACTGCGGACACAGTACAGGGATGACCAGAGACTGCGGACACAGTACAGGGATGACCAGAGACTGCGGACACAGTACAGGGATGACCAGAGACTGCGGACACAGTACAGGGATGACCAGAGACTGCGGACACAGTACAGGGATGACCAGAACTGCGGACAGTACAGGGATGACCAGAGACTGCGGACACAGTACAGGGATGACCAGAGACTGCGGACACAGTACAGGGATGACCAGAGACTGCGGACACAGTACAGGGATGACCAGAGACTGCGGACACAGTACAGGAGATGACCAGAGACTGCGGACACAGTACAGGAGATGACCAGAGACTGCGGACACAGTACAGGGATGACCAGAGACTGCGGACACAGTACAGGGATGACCAGAGACTGCGGACACAGTACAGGGATGACCAGAGACTGCGGACACAGCACAGGGATGACCAGAGACTGCGGACACAGCACAGGGATGACCAGAGACTGCGGACACAGCACAGGGATGACCAGAGACTGCGGACACAGCACAGGGATGACCAGAGACTGCGGACACAGCACAGGGATGACCAGAGACTGCGGACACAGCACAGGGATGACCAGAGACTGCGGACACAGTACAGGGATGACCAGAGACTGCGGACACAGTACAGGGATGACCAGAGACTGCGGACACAGTACAGGGATGACCAGAGACTGCGGACACAGTACAGGAGATGACCAGAGACTGCGGACACAGTACAGGAGATGACCAGAGACTGCGGACACAGTACAGGGATGACCAGAGACTGCGGACACAGCACAGGGATGACCAGAGACTGGGGACACAGCACAGGGATGACCAGAGACTGGGGACACAGCACAGGGATGACTGCTGACCTTTGGGGAGGGAGGGGGAGCGGGTACCTGAATTTGACAGGTACCCGCTCTTACTTCCGCAGAGTTTTTTTTTTTAATCTTACCTGTTCCTTTATCCAGCCGCGCGCTGTCTTCCCGGCTTCTGTAGTGTGGGCGCTCGTCGGACAGCCGGATGCCCAGTGCGCATGCGCGAGAAGCGCTGCGCTTTGTGATTGGTCCGGCGGCTTCTGGGATCTGTCATGTGTCCCAGGTACCGCCTTACCATTCACAAGGAGCACTGCTTCTTGTGCATGCGCACTTGGGACCCGGCTGTCACGCACACTACAGCCGGGAAGACAGCGCGCCGCTGGATTCTCCTGGCGTGCCCACAGATAAGGCTCGGCGTGCCGGCTGTGGCACGCGTGCCACGGGTTCGCCACCACTGGTTTAGGGTGTGAACACTTATGCAACCATATTATTTTAGTTTTTTATTTTTTACTTCCCTCCACCTAAAAGATTTCAGTTGGTTGATCAACTGAGTTGTACAGTTTATAGGTCACATTGAGGCTAGGTTCACATATATGCTGTGCGGTATATCACGTGATTCGCACAGGAACTGCACTGCATTCCTGTGCAAATCACATGCGATTTGTGTGCGGTGCGATCGGAGCCATACATTTTGTAAGGCTCTATTCGCACCGCATCCAAAACATGCAGGACCCTTTTTCTGGTCCACACTAGAATCAGATCACATGGGTATTCACACCTATGTTATCCGATTCTGCACATCGCACAGCGTTTTACAGACCGCTTTCAGGGTGTTGCTAACATACACACCCACAGCGGTTCGCATGAACGGGGTGCAATTGTGATGCGGTGTGGAATTCACACAGAAAACGCTGAACATTCCGAACCGCATCAGTGTGAACCAGGGCTGAAGGTGGTAAAAGTTCTGAAATGATTTATCTTTGTGTACATTTTTTCCATCACAGAACCTGACATTTTACCAGGGGGGTGTGAAGACTTTTTCTATCCACTGTAACTATGATGCCCTATCCCTGTGATCTGTATATGGACTGCAGAGAACTGTCACTGCCATTTACAGCACCTGTCATAAATAAATACAAACCCCACCCTGCAGGCAATGACCAGGGTAAAATGCTGAGCACGCTGCCAGCCAGCCATCACTGCCACCCCATTGGCCCAGGCAGCCCTCCTGCCTGCACATGCCACCGTCATGCAACACTCACTATTACTACAATGACTACTGACAGCGCTGACGTCACCGGCTCGGCGGTCAGGGCACCACGTGACGACCTCTAGGTTTTCTCTCCGCACGAGTCCAGGCGGCACACCCTCTTAGGCAGATGTCACAGGTCGGGCGGAAGCGCCGCCCACTTTCGGCTTCCAGTCTTCGTCGCGTCTTGATGATGTCAGCGGGAAACTAGACTGGCGCTGGTCGCTTAGGAAGGTAAATAGAAGAGCGAGGTAATGTATAAAAATGGGTATGCTTTGCCTGAAGGTTGTTAGGATTTGTGTTTCTGGTTGAATTTACAGCTCTTTTTTTTTTACTTGCTGTAAGGTAGGCTGGTGTTTTGTCTTAGGGTGCAAGGCATGCTGGGAACTTAAAGGAATGCTCCACCTGGGGAATGGGAGGTGATAATGGAGGGCAGGAATGAGCTTACCTGGTGCCAGCATGGCAGCATACATGTGATGGTGTGGTGCTATAGACTGCTCCAGGATAGGAAGAGCGTAAATATTTCATACCGTGTTCTCCTTTGCTGGTGCCAGCATGGCAGCATTCTACCGATCAACCATAACATAATGACCACCCACAGGCAAAGTGAATAACATTGATTATCTCGTCACAATGGCACCTGAGAGTGGATGGGATCAAGGCAGCAAGCGAACATGTTGTCCCTGAAGTTGATGTGAAAGCAGGAAAAAAGGGCAAGTGTAAGGATTTGAGTGACTCTGACAAGAGCCAAATTGTAATGTCTAGACGACTGGGTCAGAGCAGCTGCAGTTTTGGGATTGCTCTATCTTTAGTGGTGGACCAGGAGTCCGACCGACCAAGAAACCAACCAAGAGTCCTTCCGACCAGGACCGTCCAAGAGTCCGTCCGACCAGGACCGTCCAAGAGTCCGTCCGACCAGGACCGTCCAAGAGTCCGTCCGACCAGGACCGTCCAAGAGTCCGTCCGACCAGGACCGTCCAAGAGTCCGTCCGACCGTCCAGGACCGTCCAAGAGTCCGTCCGAACAGGACCGTCCAAGAGTCCGTCCGAACAGGACCGTCCAAGAGTCCGTCCGAACAGGACCGTCCAAGAGTCCGTCCGAACAGGACCGTCCAAGAGTCCGTCCGAACAGGACCGTCCAAGAGTCCGTCCGAACAGGACCGTCCAAGAGTCCGTCCGAACAGGACCGTCCAAGAGTCCGTCCGAACAGGACCGTCCAAGAGTCCGACCGAACAGGACCGTCCAAGAGTCCGACCGAACAGGACCGTCCAAGAGTCCGTCCGAACAGGACCGTCCAAGAGTCCGACCGACCAGGACCGTCCAAGAGTCCGACCGACCAGGACCGTCCAAGAGTCCGACCGACCAGGACCGTCCAAGAGTCCGACCGACCAGGACCGTCCAAGAGTCCGACCGACCAGGACCGTCCAAGAGTCCGACCGACCAGGACCGTCCAAGAGTCCGACCGACCAGGACCGTCCAAGAGTCCAACTGACCAGGACCGTCCAAGAGTCCGACCGACCAGGACCGTCCAAGAGTCCGACCGACCAGGACCGTCCAAGATTCCGACCGACCAGGACCGTCCAAGATTCCGACCGACCAGGCCGTCCAAGAGTCCGACCGACCAGGCCGTCCAAGAGTCCGACCGACCAGGACCGTCCAAGAGTCCGACCGACCAGGACCGTCCAAGAGTCCGACCGACCAGGACCGTCCAAGAGTCCAACTGACCAAGCGTCCAACCGACCAGGAGTCTGACCGACCAGGAGTGACCTACCGACCAAGAGTCCTACCGACCAAGAGTCCTACCGACCAAGAGTCTGTCCAACCAGGACCGACCAAGAGTCTGTCCAACCAGGACCGACCAAGAGTCTGTCCAACCAGGACCGACCAAGAGTCTGTCCAACCAGGACCGACCAAGAGTCTGTCCAACCAGGACCGACCAAGAGTCTGTCCAACCAGGACCGACCAAGAGTCTGTCCAACCAGGACCGACCAAGAGTCTGTCCAACCAGGACCGACCAAGAGTCTGTCCAACCAGGACCGACCAAGAGTCTGTCCAACCAGGACCGACCAACCAAGAGTCTGTCCAACCAGGACCGACCAACCAAGAGTCTGTCCAACCAGGACCGACCAACCAAGAGTCTGTCCAACCGGGACCGACCAACCAAGAGTCTGTCCAACCGGGACCGACCAACCAAGAGTCTGTCCAACCAGAACCGACCGACCAACCAAGAGTCTGTCCAACCAGAACCGACCAAGAGGTACAAGGAGAACCTGGTTCTATAGAAAGGTGTCAGAACACATAGAGCAACGCAGTTTGTTCTGTATGGGGCTGTGTATTGCAGACTGGTAAGGGTGCCCATGCTGATCCGTGTCCAGAGCCAAAAGCTCCTACAGTGAGTACATGAACATCTGAACTGGACCACGGAGCAATGGAAGGAGGTGGCCTGGTCTGATGAATCAAAGAATGGTTTGAAGAACATAAAGCATTTTAGGTGTAGACTTGGCCTCCAAATTCCTGGATGACGATACAATTGAGCATCTGTGGGATGTGCGGGAATTTCGATCCATGGAGGCCCCATCTCCAGACTTACAGGACTTCAACCGGTACTAAACCCAATGAGGTATAACACTGGCACTGAAATTTTTATCCCTTCTCTAGGCTGCCTGGTACATGTCTCAAAGGCTAGGATCTTTCTAACATGATCACTGCGTTAAAGGATAAATTCACCTTTCACAACATGTTACATCCATATTTAGGACTCCCCCGCTTTGACAACTAGCGGGGGATCTTCTCCTTCCACTAGCTGTCAAAATGATCAAAAAATTGTGCCTGGCCCCATCACTCATTCACAGTCCGCTGTGAACAAGAAACTACAAGTCCCAATGGCCTTAGCGGCTGTTGGCTTGTAATTCTCGAACTACCATAGCGGTGTGGAGTGCCGTGGTAGTTCATTGAAGCTT